ACTGAGGAGCTCCTGATTGTTAGTTATCCACCTGGGGTATTTCTGTTGAAAGTGGCACAAAGCAGTGTTCTGGGAAGTTCACTCTCTCTCAGGTGCTTAGAATTCTGATGTTATGATTGATTAGTTGGCCACTCTGCCAGATTCAAAAGGAGCCTTCCTAGAGGCAGAAGGAGTCTCTCTGACTGCTGGCTGAGAAAGACCTGTTGCTGAGAGAAACGCACTCCTGAGAGAGACACACTGCTGAGAGACACCGAGAAATACTCACTGCTGGGAGAGAGACTGTTGGCTGAGAGACAGTGAGACTGAGAAAGACTGGATGTTTTTCCTGAACTTGAATTGTAGCCTAGTGCTTCCCTAATAAAGCCTATAATCTGTGAGTTCTGTGTGGCACTGCAGTGAATTATTGAACCCAGCAGGAAGGTGGTGAGTGCTGCAGGAGGAACAGTTGGTGCCAGGATTGGTGAAAGGGCTGGAGGGAGGCAGCATGTCTGGCCTCACGGGGATAGGCCTTGGGCTGCTGATGGTGATTCTGTCTTTCTCTTGTGGGGTTAGAGGAGGTCAGAACATCCAGCCTCCTTGCCTCCTTGGCAGTAACCCAATATCATTATCACACCTTACAAGAAATTTTTAATTCTTTAAAAACTTTTTAATACCAAAGTTGGTTTCAAATTTCAAATTATTTATAAACTTTATAAAAAGATTTTAGTTGTATAAATCAATATTACATATAAATAATATATTTTAAAATTTATTCATAAATTTATATGTAAATTATACAGATTTATTTATTTGTATCAGTTTTCAAATAACGTTCACACATTGATTGACATGCTTTCCCAAATTAACAGGATTTCAAAAAAATCTTATTATTAATGATTCTGGATTTGATGGAAAATTGATTTCTAATTACTTTTTTGTAGTCATAGAAAGTATCAGCATGATGCCAGTGTTTGAAATTTCTCAAAACTTTCTTTATGGAGTAATATGTAGTCAAGTTTTAAAATATTTCATGTTTGCTTAAAAAGAATATGTAATTCTTTTGTTGTTGGTTGCATATTTTTGTATCAGTCCATTAAATGAAGCTTTTAAAATTTTAATTTATTGTTCTTTCTTTTCCTACACATTTTTCCCCATGAAGAGACCAGGTTGGCCTATAGGTTTCCATGGGCTGCATTTAGGTGCTAGCATCCCTGTGGTGTAGTTTGACACATTCTTCTACCTTCTTGAATCTTTTCATTTTCATAAGTTGATTAGGTTCAGATTTGATTTTCTTTTTCTAATACTGTTTATTGGTGGTGATGTGTTCTTTAGTCATGTAGCTCATAATATCTGGTTGTTTTCTTGTTTGTGATATTAGCAGCCATTGATGTTCAATGCTGAGATCCCACAATTCATTAGAGATTTGTGATGTGTAGTAGGTTACATAGTATGGCTTTTCTAGTCTTCATCATAGTCTTTCATAGTCTTTGCCACTCCCACTTTGCCTTGAGCAACTGAGTAGCTGCTTGTTAAACTCATCCACCTGGGGCAGCATGAAGTAATCTTCTGGGAAAGTTTACTCTCTCTCAGGTGTGTAGAACTCTGATACTGGGATTGGTTGGTTTTGGCGACTCTACCAGTTTCAAAAGGAGCCCTTCTAGTGGCAGAAGGAATCTCACTGCCCACTGAGAGAGATGTGTGGCTGAGAGAGAGACGTGAGAGAGAGATGCACTGCTGAGAAAGAGATGTGCTGCTGAGAGAGACTGCCATCTGAGAGACATGGCTGGCTGAGAGGGACGGCAAGCTGGGAGAGACTGAGTGTGTTCCTGAATTTGAATTGTAGCCTGTTGCTTCCCTAATAAACCATAATCTGTGAGTTCTGTGGGGCCACTACAGCGAATTATCAAACCCAACAGAGAGGTGGTGGGTGCCGTGGGAGGTACGATTGGTGTCTAGGTTGATAAGAGGGCTTTAGGGTAGCAGCATGTGTGGCCTCATAAGAACAGGCCTTGGGCTGCTGATAGTGCTTCTATCTTCCTCTTGTGGAGTTAGAGGAGGTCAGAAGATGCCGCCCCTTTGGCAAGATTGTAAAATGATTGTGTTCTATTTCTGTTACTCCTTGTTCACTTATTAGCTGGAATACTTCTATAATGAGAAACCTATTCTCATCTATTATTTGTTTACTCAGTGGTACAGTTTGTGTATGAGAGAAGATAAATCCTTGATTATTTCCCTTTTTTGATAGTTTTTGGTACAGCAAATTAGTGCCTTAGCATATCCAATGATGATCATTTCTTTTGTACCAACACGAACTCATTGACTGAAGCATCCTTAATCTTTCATTCCATTGCATTTATTACTATTATTGGGTATAAATTGTCCCTTTTTAGGCTAGTGGAAGCCTTTCTAGTTATTTTGCCACAACTTTAGTAGTCTTTAGTAGCTTTCTCGATACCGGGATGAGATGTTCCAAGCTTATCTTGTGTATTTACACTCCTAAGCCTGGAATTGGCTATTTTTCAAGGAGCCTTGATTCCTTTTAGTGGGAAATGGTATTTGGAGATCACAGCCTGGTTGCTAGGAGTGTACAATTCTACAGGTGTGGTCATTGTTTCTAAATCTCTTTAGTGGTCAGAGCTAGAAAATAAAATGAGTGTTTTTATTTAAGGTGAAATAATAGCATGAGTTTAAATTGATACTTCCCATGTCAGATTGAGGACCATATATGTTTGACTTTTGTCTCACATTCCTATCTTCTTTCTTTGCCAAGAATCCATTTTCTTGAGGACACTAGTCCTGGAAGAATTAGAATATCTCATATTACTAATTTGTTTTGTTCCACATAAAGAAATCTCAGAATAACAATATCAAAACTACCACTAATGGTATGATTATTGAAAAGGAAAGTATATAGTGATTAAATTGATTGATTATAGGTTTTGTGTCTTGTCTTTTACCAATTTTGCTATATTATATTTTCTCTCCTGTGTATTTATCTAGTTCTTCTAAAGTTTTAGTTATCAGCATAAAATTGTCCTATAATCTTGCTATCTTTTAAACTATAGCTGTAAATGTAGTTTTGTTCTCCTTTTCATTCTCACTATTATTTACTTATGTCTTTCTTTTCTTCTTGCTTTAAGTTTGTCGATTTAGTCTCTTCCGGAAGTAACTTTTAGCTATATTAAGCCTCAATAATACCTGTATTTTCAATTTCATTAGTACTTTGTATTTCTCCTCTTCTGTTTTCTTTGGGAGGAGTCCTGGTGGCACAGTGGTTAAACACTCAGCTGCTAACCTGAACCTTGGTGATTCAAGCCCACCAGCCTCTCCATGAGAGAAGGATGTGGCATTCTGCTTCCACAAGCCTTACAAGGCTATAAGGTTACAGCCTTACAGTTCTAGTCTTTCGTATAGGGTCATTATGAGTTAGTATCATAACTAACTCATAGTTTGGGTTTTTTTTTATCGTTATTTTCTTTGGATTTATTTGATCTCCCTCAACTCCTAATTCTTAGGTGGGACAGTTTGCCCATTATTTCCAGTTTTTATTTTCTAATGTAAATATTTAAGGCTCTTAATTTCTGTTTCATGCATTGTTGTCAATAATAATTTGTTGTAATCTCCAATTATGATAATGTCTTTTTTGTCTGATAGTTTTATGAATTTTTTATAGTTTCTGGTATCTTTCTGAAGATATTTCCTCCCCCTTTTTAGCAGTGTTGTTTGCAAGCTAAATATTATAATTTTACACACAGTATGGTTGTATCTAGTTTTCCATACTGATGTTTCTGAAGAATTACATTAGAATTATATTATTCTTTTCTTTCTTCTTCTTCTTCCCCTGCTTCTCCAAAGTTTTCGTTTTCTGTAATCATCCTTTCTTATGCTGTCATTGGCACTTGTCTTTTTTTCAGTTTCACTAGATTTCCCTGTGACCTCTGTTCTCTCTGGGTCCCAGAAAATTTATAATTTTATAGATTGACTTTCTGTTGTTCTTCAGATGGGAATGCTGCTCAGCTGTCTATATTTTAAGTAGAAGGTGAACCTTACTATTTTTCTTATTAAGCCCTTTTTTATAAATTCAAATGTCCATGTATCACTTTTAGATTTTGAATAACTTTCTTCCACAGATGTATTTTCTTTTATATTCATGTGCATTTTCATTGAAATTTTACATATCACTACAATAGTCTCAAGTACTTCTATAATTTGTATTTGAAACCTTCTTAAAGTTTAGAGTTAAGATGTTATAATTTTAATATGTAAGTTTCACATTTATGAATTCTTTGACTTATTTTATTTCTGATTTTCAGATTAAATATTGGCATATGTTACCCTTTTACTCTGCTCTTACAAGTCTTTTTTTTTTTATTAATATATAAACAAGAGAAATGTTAGATAAACTGTGAAATGTGTAAATTTTTTGATGTGAGATTATTCATTTTTTTATTACTTTAGTACCCATTGCTAATTTTTAAGCCATGTGAAAACTTTTCAGATTAAACCATTGTATTAAAGAAATGGACTTACATTATCATTGTGTTAGGGAGCTCTGGTGGCATAGTAGGTAAGGCATTTGGCTGCTAACCAGAAGGTTGGCAGTTCAGACCCACCAACTGCTCTGTGGGAGGAAGATGAGGCAATCTATTTCCATAAAGATTTACTGCCTTGGAAACCCAGTGGGGGTCACTATGAGTCAGAATTGACTCGATGTCAGTGAGTTTGGGCTTTTTGGTTATGATTGTGTTAAAGAAATTGAATTATTAATATTGATCAATTATTTTTGAAACTATTTTGGCTGAGCTACTAGTGTCTTTTGACTTTGAAGTGTTTTTTTGATAAATTATTTTTTAGCAGATATCCACAATTTATTGAGTTGATTTTAAGTGCCATGTTATTATTTAAATAAATGGATGTGTCATGTTGAAAACATTAACTGCAATTTTTAACCTAATTTTATCTCCTTCTTACTTTCATGGACTTTAATAGTGATTTACTAAATACTTCTTTTCTTTTCATAGGTTATTTTAGTGTCTGCCAATAAATTGACTCGTTATATAGAACCATGCCAGTTAACAGAAGATTTTGGTGGGAGTCTTACCTATGATCACATGGACTGGTTAAATAAGAGGCTGGTTGGTATATACTAATGAGATGAAACGTTATTATGTATGAATAAGACATATTCTGTTAACTTTGCCATTTTAATTAACTAAAAATGTAGAGTGTTTTTCTTTTTACAAAAAAAAAAATCATTTAGCACATTCTGCATTATAGCCTACCTAACATTGAAAACAAATACTCTGGAGTCTGACTAATTTTTTTAAAGTCCTAATCTTGCTCTTCACTGAGTGCCAGAACAAAATACTACAAAATGAGTGGCTTTAAAAAAAACAAATATATTTTCTCACAGTTCTGGAGGCTAGAAGTCCAAATTGAGGTATATAGGCTGTGCCGATTCCTTCTGATGGTTTTGAGAGAGGAACTACCCTGTGCTTCTCATCTAACATCTTTGGTGTTCCTTTGCTACTTCACATGGTATCTTCCCCCTGCTTGTGACTGTTTCCATGTCTGTCCTTCTCTTTTATAAGGCACTACTCAGAAGGGATTAGGACTCACCTTACTCTGGTATGACTTCCTTAATTTAACTGAAAAATTCTGCAAAGAAAACTGTTTCCCCAAATGAGATCGTATCTGCAGGTACAGGAAAAGGTTAGGACCACAACACATCTTTTGAGGGGGGAATACAATTCATTCCATAACGGTGACCTTCAGCAGTTTCGTTAACCTCTCTGTGCCTCTATTTCCACATTGCTGTAATGTTTAAAGGAGCTCTGGTGGCATCGTGCCTAAGGCATTTGACTGCTAACCAGAAGGCTGGCAGTTCAAACCCACCAGCCACTCCTCGGAAGGAAGATTGGGCAATCTACTTCTGTAGTG